ATTGGTATGTCCACCAATCTATAACATCCTCCAAATGGTACCTAAACATCACATGAAGAACATAAAAAGACACACAGAAACAGACATTTTAATGTACTATATGAACAAAAACTGAGTAAACAAACATTATGAAACTCAACACAAAATCGAAATACAACATTTTTAAAGAAGCAGAGAAATAATATCATATTTTGACATTTTTTGTAATATAATACATTAAAATAATAAAAGGGTAGGCATCAAGGATCAAACCATTGACCAATGAGTCAAAAACAAGCATTGTTACCACTGCACTAACTAGCTTTCATTACATAACTAGCTTTCATTACATATTAAGTTGAACAACTAATATTCATATACTTGTTTCAGATTTATAATTTATAAGAAATTAATTTTAAAGCCCCTATTTTTTAGAGGCCCTGAGGGCGTGTTTGCACGGATCCAAGGTCGGCCCTGATGCGAATGTGGCAGATTTAAGGTATGTTTGGAATGATAATTAATGAGATTTTATTGTTTGGATTTGCAAATAGTGGATGTAATAGAACATGATGGAATTTATTTCATTCCATTCCATCCAATTTCTCATTTTGTCCATCAATTTGGGGTGTATATGATGGAATGAAGTTTTTTTTTTAAATAATTAAACAATAGAGTGAGATCTATATTCTATTCCGTTCTGTTTCATTCCGCTCCTCTCCATTCAACTCATCATGTTGCATTTCGTTCCGCTCTGTTATATTCTATCAATCCAAACATAACCTTAGAGGTAAGGGAAAAGATGATTTTTTCGTAACATATTCTTGTCTTATATTATAAATACTCTATCTCTATTAAGTATGAAAAACTAACTAGAATAAGTATTACACAAGAATTACACAAAACACAAATTCAACAAAACTCGAATGCGACACACATATTCTTTCTTTAAAAGATGATATTCAAATAAGGAGAACCATCTCTTTATAGAGAAAATACGATCAAATCAAACAACATAATATGATTTAACAAAAAATCAACCATTCTAAAATTCAACAAATCAACTTTTTTAATAAAATCAAATCCAATATAATCTTCTTAATGAATGATTTGTTTTAGTTAAAACTTTTCCATAGTGATTCACATTAAGAAATCTTTTCTAAACAAAATCCTTGCAAAAGCTAAAATATATTTAAATAAAATTTAAATAAAATAAACCTAAACAAAATATCCTAATATATACCAGAAGCTAACAAATTTTTCTAAATAATACAAACTAGAAAGAATCGAAAAAATCAAATACACGGTGTATCACTATTAATCAAAACATCTCCCTAAATAAGTTACCTACAAAAATATGTCAATCAACTATATAAACAATGTTTTTTAATATAATATTTATTTATCTAAAAATATTTAAAAATAATTTAAACATATATAATTTTCTTACAATGTAATTTTATAATTTAAATGTAATATATTTTTTGGGTCAAGAATGTAATATATATTATATGATATCATTATTAACTCAATTAAATAATATTTTAAAAATCAGACAAATCATCGAACTTGTGAAAGTATTAGGCCACTAGTTCCATGGTCGAACGAACTATTGGATCACTAGTCAAATCACATTATTAAATTAGATTGAATCGGATAACTCGATTGAATAAACCGATATATGTAACAACATTATATATTTATTAGATTGATCGAACCAAATGATTTGGTCTCTAAAACAATCACGGCACCTGCAAAATATTGAATTTCAAAACATCATAATTTTACAAGTTCATTCTTTCATATCAAATTTCAAACATAGTGATCACACACAATAAAATAGTACAAAATACAAATCTAAATAAATTTTGAACAAAATTAATTGCGACATAACAAATAATTGTAGTGTCTAATAAATTTAATTCTAAAGAGTGAAAATTATTCTAAATAAGTTTTGAACAAAATCTACATATATTTTAATTTAATATTTTTAAAAAATTATCAAAACACCGTTGTCACCAATATCTAGAAGGATGTAGTCCATAGGAAAGAAAATTCACTAATTATAAGTAGTAAATAGTTATACGACAATCTCGTTTGAACTATCTTAGTTCCATGTCCTTTTTTCTATTACGACCTTTGAATTTCAACTCAAATCCTCCATTGAATATGAGATTCTCTCATTTTCACTAAAATAATTTTTAAAGTGTTGGTAAGAACCAATATTTTTGACATGACAAATATACAAATACAAACCAAATAATCTATCTTTGTTAAATATAAAAGACTAAATAAAATAAAGTATTATTCAAGAATTACACGAAACACAAATTTAACAAAACTCAAATGTGACACATATTTTTTCTTTAAAAGACTATCTTCAAATCAGAAAAACCATCTCTTTATATAAAAAACATGATCAAATCAAATAGTATAATAGGATTTAATAAAAAATCAATCATTCCAAAATATTAACAAATCAAATCTTTTTAATAAAACCAAGTCCAATAAAATTTTCTTCATGAATGATTTGTTTTAGTTAAAACTTTTCCATACTGATTTACATTGAGAAATCTTTTCCAAACGAACACGATATATCACTAAATAAGTTAGCTACAAAAATATGTCCATCAACTATAGCAACAATATTTTATTTTTAATATTATATTCATTTATCTAAAAATATTTAAAAATAATTTAAACATATATATTTTTCTTACAAGGTAATTTTATAATTAAAATATAATATATTCGTTTGGTCAAGAATGTAATATATATTATATGATATCATTATTAACTGTATATGAAATAATATTTCATAAATTGAGCCAATCATAAATTGAGCTATTCATTAGTCGAATCACATTATTAAATTAAATTAAATCGGATAATTCGGTTGAATAAAATCGTTTCTATAGCAAAATTATATAGTTATTAGATTCGTTGAACGAAATGATTTAGTCTCTAAAAAAATCACAGCACCTATAAAATTTTGCATTTCAACATCATAATTTCACAAATTTATTCTTTCATTTCAAATTCAAAACATTGTCAATCACACATAACAAAATAATACAAAATACAAATCTAAATAAATTTTAAATAAAATTTATATATATTTTAATTTTTTTAAAAATTATCAAAACCGCCTTGTAACCTATATTTGGAGGGATGTAGCCTATAGAAAAAGAAATTCATTAATTATAAGTAGTTAATAATTATATTAAAATCTCATCTGAACTCTCCTATAAATTTCAACTCAAACCCCTCACTATTACTCAAATAATTTTCAAAATGTTTCTACGAATCGATTATTTTTAACAAATATACAATTACAGACCAAATAGTCTATCTCAGTTAAATATAAAAAACTAACTAGAATGCGACACACAAATTCTTTTGTTTAAAATACGATCTTCAAATTAGGATATAGAAAATAAGATCCAATATAACAACATAATAGGATTTAATTTATAAAAAAAATCAACTATTCAAAAATTTAGCAAATCAAATATTTTTAATAAAACCAAATCCAATAAAATCTTCTTCATACATGATTTGTTTTAGTTAAAACATTTCCATACTGATTTACATTAAGAAATCTTTTCCAAACGAATCTAAAAAGCTATAAATATTTTTAAATAAAATAAATTTGAACAAAATATCCTAATAAATGCTGAAAATGAACACATTTTTTTAAACAATACACAATAATAAGAGTAGAGAATATCAAATACAAGATGTCTCACTATTAATCAAGACATTTCACTCTATAAGTTATCCCAAAAAATATGTCAATAAACTATAATAGCAATATTTTTTTTAATATAATCTTTATTTTTCAAAAATATTTAAGAATAATTTAAATATATATAATTTTCGTACAAGGTAATTTTATAATTTAAATGTAATATATATTTTTTGGTCAATGTAATATATATTATATGATATAATTATTTGCTATATATCTAATAATATTTTAAAATTCGGATCAGTTATTAAATCGATGAGAGTATTATATTATTAATTTATTGGTCGAACCATTGATATACTAGTGAAATCATGACTAAATATAATTAAATCGAATAATTTGATTGAATAAATCGATCTCTGTAACAAAACTATATATTAATTATTAAGTCTGTGAGAATATTATGTTACTAATTCATTGGCCGAACCACTGTTACACTAGTCGATTCATATGACTAAATAAGATTAAATCGAATAATTTGGTTGAATAAACCGATCTTTGTAACGAAACTATATAGTAATTATTAAATCGGTGTGGATATTATGTTACTAGCTCATTGGTCGAATCATTGGTACACTGGTCGAAACCATGCATATGACTAAATAGGATTAAATCAAATAATTTAGTTGAATAAATCAATCTCTATAACAAAATTATATAGTAATTATAAAATCGGTGAGGATATTATGCTACTTGGTCGAACTATTGGTACACTAATCAAACCATATGACTAAATATGATTGAATCGAATAATTTGATTGAATAAACCAATTTATGTAACAAAACTATATAGTAATTATTAAATCGGTGAGGGTATTATGTTACTAATTTATTGGTCAAAACATTGGTACAATAGTAGAACCAGATGATTTAGTCTTTAAAAAATCACAACACCCACAAAATTTAAATTTCAAAATATCATAATTTCACTAATTCATTCTTTTATTTCAAATTTCAAATTTCAAATTTTAAACATAATAATCACACACAATAAAATAGTACAAAATATGTATCTAATTAAATTTTGAACAAAATTTAATTGTAACACAATAAATTAAGTGGAGTGTTTAATTCAAAAAAACAAAAATTATTCTAAATAAATTTTGAACGAAATCTACTTATATTTTAATTTAATTTTTTTAAACAAATTATTAAAACGGTTTCATTTTATCTGAGAAATAAAAGCAAGCATATACCAAAACTTAAAATTTATTTATTTTCATATATTTTTATCTTTCATTCTACATAAGTTTGAATGAGAAAAATAGACAAGTTACACATTAAGAGCATTATTCTCATCATTCCAAGGATAGCATTCGAAAGTTGTTTCGCAAATTCTACATGGTCCATATTCATTTATCGACCAATAGCAATGTGCTGGACAAATGTGCAGATCTCTCTTTTGAACAAAAATGTCAAAGTATCGATATTGTCTTTGAAATTCAAATTCACCCCATTTAAATCGACAAAACCATAAGGCACGTCCCAAAAGAGGTACGTACATGGCAGAGAAGGTGTGGGCTTCACCATAATCTATTCTATGAAACCCATCATCATGGTCTTTATCTTTACAATGAAGACCTGCTGGAGTACCACTCATGTTGTTCCTAATCACAACTTCAACTTTCGGAAAAAAGGCTTCATACTTATATTCACCATTAGTGACCTGCAAAGCAACAAGAATAGTTAGTAACATTGGCACAAAGAACACAATTTTGGAGGATGAAACCATCATGGTTGTATAGTACATAAATTATTTGATGTATTGGTAATGAAAAATATGATTTTCTTTTTGTTATTTATAGGGGACTTTTTGCCTAAAAAAATTCAAAATATTAGGAGGTATAATAAATGTAAAGGTGAACTTTAGGATGTGGGGACAAAATGAATGTGTTATATTAAATATAGATTCAAGGTATATGTAATTTTAGTGTAAAATAATTTTATATTTATTAAATTATTTTTCATTATTATTTCTATTTAAAAAATTATATATATATATATATATATATATATATATATATATATATATATATATATATATATATATATATATATATATATATATATATATATTCTGGACTGGGTCCGCCTTGACCCAAAGTACAAATAAAGGCCCAGATCCAAGCAGCTCTTCGAGGAGTGCTCATAATCAGACCATCCCGAGCGTGCCCGACCACAGACCATAGCGGCAATGCCCGACGTTACTCGCAACGAGCAGCGTCCCCGATCAAGGGCACTCCAGCTCGAGTCTTGCTCGAGCATCCTCCCCGTAGGGCAGATTCTGTCCCCTCTGAACGTTATGGGATTCTTAAAGCCCCGGAAAGACCGCGTCTTCGTTCTTCCTCATTCTTCGTAGAGCACCATCCAGGAAGGGGACCACGTGCGGGTCCCAACTACACACGGAGAATCTGGCAGTCCCTTTATTGGGCCAGTTTTGATCGGCCCAATGAAGGGACCTTGGCCCAGCGCTGGGGGCTATAAATACCCTCTACTTCAAGAGGCTCAGGTATTCATTGATCACACACCTACATACTTTTTGCCTGCTCATTTCGTCTCTCATTTTATCATCGGAGTGTCTTGCAGGTACCCTCCCCCCTCATATCTCACTCAAATCCAGTTCGAGCCAGCTGTGATGGTCCAAGTCTGATCCGGTAAGATCAGTGGCGCCGTATGTGGGAAACTAAGCTTCCCCGTCTTACAAACTTTCAAAGACCAAAGCTAAAAACCATCTTCCATCGTCATGGCTGACCAAACTCGGGACGACCAGAACGTCCGCGTCGTCGATGCCAACAACAACCTCGCGGACAAGAACGGAGTCCCCGACAGCACCGGCAACCCCAACCATAATATACTCCTCGGGGGCGTCATCCCCGGGCCCTCAGGCCGCCGGGACAGAGCCACAGTCTCATCTTCTTCATTCCCCCCTCCGCTCGAAGAAGACAATACGACTCCCCCAAACTATCTAGCCACCCAATTCCAGGAGGTCCCTGTTCCCGCCGGGGCAGACGCCACGACCAGAGCACTGTTCGCGGCAATCAACCAGACAAACTACCTCATCTTTGCCCAGGGGGAAAGATTGAGGGTGCTAGAGGACGACAGAAGACCCCCGAGGAGATACAGGAGGCCTCAGTCCCCACCTCCTCGAAGAACATAGGTACGTCTCCCATCTCCCCCGCGGAGACAAGACAGAGACGCCTCCCGAAGCCCGTCACCCCGACAACCGAGGAGACGACCCCCTTGGAGAGGGAACCAATCATTGAAGCCGGATGGCACAACCACGGCCCCTTACAGCAAGAACGAAGACATCCTGGAGACAGGCACAGAAGGACGGATCAACGAGCACACCGCTCGAGAGACGCCCAACACAATCATGACCGTCGTGCCCGACAATACCTTAGGTCCCCGTCCCTTTCCCCAGAGCGAAGTGATGAGGACGACCCCTGAGGTCCCCTATTACAAGCCATCATGGAGGCACCGATTCCCCTGGGCGTGGAGAAGCCCCCTCACCTGAAGGAATACGACGGAGTCGCCGACCCGGTCGATCATATAGACGGGTTCGAAGCTATGCTGCACTACCATAACATTGGGGGACCCATCAAATGCCGGTTGTTCCCCACAACCCTCAAGAAAGCAGCAATGGATTGGTACAAGGGTCTTGCCCCGGGGTCAATCACCTCGTGGCGAAACTTGAAAAACCAATTCATAAGCTCGTTCACCGTGTCACAGCGACATCCAAAGACCGAAGCGGCGCTCAAGGCTATCGTAACCTTGAGAGAATTCATCAACCGCTTCAACTGTGACACCATCCAGGTCCCCTGCGCGGACCACATGAAAAGATACTTACTGGAGAGGGGACTCCTCCCCGACACAGAGTTCAGAAAAGCAGTGGGCATCGAACCACCCCGAACGTTCGATGCTCTGCTCGAGAAGGCCAGGGCCTACATGGACTACGAGGAAAGGGAAGCGGCCAACAGAGCCCGTGACCCCAGAAGTCGCGGATCCAACAGCAACCCACGCCAAGAAGTCGTTCCTCCTCGACGGGCCGGGGAGAAAAGAAAATACGACAAACCCCGAGAAGTCCGAGAATAGAGGGGACCCTCGGGGCATTTCACAGAGTACACTCCGCTCACGGCTTCCCGCGAGCGCACCTTGGCAGAGTGTGCCAGTACAGATTTCAAAGATGGCAGCGTCAAGCGCCCCCGACCAGCTCCTGCCAAGCCCGGGGTGGACAGGAGCAAATACTGTCAGTACCATAGGAGTCATGGTCATCTGACGGAGGACTGCGTCCACCTCAAGGACGCCATCGAGACCCTCATAAAAGGGGGGAGACTCGCCCAGTACCGGCAAAACAACGCTCCTTGTTGCGACGCCCGTGAGACAAGAGAACCATAGGAGGATGCCCGACCATCTGACGAGTCGGTCCCCATCCAGACCGCCTTCTCCATCACCAGACCCAAGGACTTTTACGTCCCCGAGCACTTGCAAGAGCCGTTGTCAACACACAGCAGGTGGGAGCACTTTCCCTCCGCCATGGTCATCAATGGTGGAGGATTCAACGACCTAACCATAAATTTGGCCAAGAGGAAGCTGGATAAATTGGTCGACTCTGCACCTCCTCAGACGGTGACCTTTGAAAGGGTGAAGGGTAGATTGGAGCCTATCACCTTTTACCTCGAAGAACTCCCCGGTGGGGCCCCCAACACGGTCATTCCCCTGCTAATAAGAGTGAGAATGGCTAACTTTGACGTACATCGCGTCCTCGTCGACGAGGGAAGTTCCATCGACGTGATGTACAACCAACTGTTCTAAACCCTGCAGCTCGATGACTCGCACCTCTCGCCTTATGTGGGGTCAGACCTGCAGGGCTTTAACGACTCGACTTCCAAACCTTGGGGATACATCGAGCTCATGGTTATCTTTGGCGAGGACACGACAACGAGGCAGGTCAAGGTGCACTTTCTCGTCATCGACTGCCTGTCCCTCTACAACTACATTCTGGGAAGGCCGACTTTGGCAGAACTGACTGCGGTACCCTCCACCGTCCACTTGAAGATGAAGTTTTACACCAAGAGGGCACGAGTCGCCACCATCCAAGGGGACTTGGCTGCTGCCCGAAGGTGTTTCAACGCGGCATCCAAGGGACACGACACGGTCGACACTGGTGCAAGACCCTCCAAGAGAGCTGCAACGACACGACCAGAGCCTCAGAAGACAGAGCCCGTCAAGGCAGAAGAACAGAGAGCTCCCCCAAAGGTCGACTCCATAGCCCTGGACACCCGCTTCGATCAGGACGAGCCTCCCAGCGGCGAGCAAGTCCCCCTCCGACCAATTCCGGACGGAGACTTCGAACTCGTCCCTCTTGGCGATGACACGAGCAAAGGAGTGAAGATCGGTACCGACCTTCCCGACTTGGCGAGGAATCAGATCAAAACTTGCTTGCGCGAGAATGCTGACTTATTCGCATGGAGCGCCAGAGATGCCCGGATCGAACCCGAGGTCGCCTGTCACCGCCTCGCCATAGATCCAGCCGCTAGGGCAGTAGTACAGCGTAGACGTAGGCAGTCTCTGGAGAAAACGGAGGCTACTGAAAAAGCTGTAAAAGACTTCTTAGAGGAAAATTTTATTTCTGAAGCCCGGTATTCAACCTGGCTGTCAAATGTTGTACTAGTCAAAAAGAATAATGGAAAGTGGCGAATGTATGTTGATTATACTGATCTCAATCGGACATGCCCGAAAGATGCATTTCCTTTACCCAACACAGATATGCTGGTCGACAACTCGGCCAATTATAAAATACTGTCATTTATGGATGCCTATTCAGGCTATAACCAGATCCCAATGGTTGTAAGCGACAAGCATTGCACTGCTTTCATGACCAGCTCGGGAAACTATTACTACAACGTGATGCCCTTTGGTCTAAAAAATGCAGGGGCAACATACCAACTTATGATGAACAAAGTGTTCCACAACCAAATCAGAGACATGCTCGAGGTGTATATGGACGACATGATTGTCAAATCCCGAGCAGATACTGACCATGCCGCTCACCTCAAAGAAGTATTTGCTCAAGCAAGACGATGTAAGATGAGATTCAACCCCGAGAAGTGCACATTCAGGGTCAAGGCAGGAAAATTCCTCGGTTTTTACTTGACACAACGAGGAATCGAAGCTAACCCCGACAAGTGTCGAGCCTTCTCCGACCTCCCGACACCCACGTCGAAGAAATCCATACAAGTCATGAACGGCATGCTCACCTCGTTATCCCGCTTCGTCGCTGTGATCGGTGGGAATGAGAATGGACTGTTTTTGGAATGCTGGTTCGCGTTTGCGTTTGTTTTTGCAAAGTGTCGCGGTAAGCAAGAGTCGCCATCGTCTTTTATTTTATCCAACAAGGAAAGGACAAAAGCACAGAAAAATTCCTTTTCGAGATGTTTCTCGGGTTCGGGAGGTAGATTGTAGAAAGGGAAGGTATTAGCATCCTTTCTATCCGTGGTTATCCACGGGCTCTTAGGTACTTGCTCACTATGTTTTCAAAAGTTTGCTTTTCTTTGTGTTTGTGGGTTTTGAAAATAGTTTTTGTTTGAAACTTCGATTTAACTCTTGCTTCTGTCCTCAAGAGTGTAATGAAGTGTTTTGAAAACTTTGTTCGAAAAGTGTAAGTGTGAAAAGTTTTGTTTTGTTTTTAAAATGAGCAAGTACTTAAGAACCTCTACCTACTCAAAAAGGAATTAAACTGTTCAAATGTCC